ATTTATTGTCAGACACATGTAGAAATATATATATATATATATATGTATACATATGTTTCTTGATGCATGCACTATTCTTTATTATATATATATATATATATTGTTTTAATTATTATTTTCCCTGCCTAAGAGGCTTGAGATTAGCATCTAGGACTACGATTTATAATAGCTACCACAGGAATTATCACGGCAAGGAAAGTGAAATTTGAGTGATACGGGGGCTATGGAGGTAGAAAGCAAACCAGAGCGCCAGAATGTGTCCACAGATTCCATAATTGAAGAGCTGAAAGCCCTAGCAAGGCACATGTTGCACGCTACTGAGGATGCCCGACGAAGAACACGTTGCATTGGTGACTCAAACTCCTATGGGGTTCTTTTAAGTGCACTTGAATCGTCAGCACCGGGAACAAATCGCGTAAACGGATCGACAGCCGCTTACTATCATTACGATCCTGGTAATACGTTTTCTGTCTCGGGAGGTACTGAGTTGGGGGAAAGAATTAGTGATAATGTGCCATTTTCATTGAATGATTCCGAAACGAAAATGGAGAAGAGAATAACTTCAAAACAGGACATATACTATGCCGAATTGGATAATCAAGAAACTTCTATTTCAGAGAAGGATGAAGATGAGCTTAAAGACGCTGCTGAAGATACTCACCATTTGAGTCGGCAGAAACTCCCATCAATTACACGTCTGACAGCTGTTGACTATTCTGGGTATTCTGAAGAAAACGTTTATGATGGTGTAAAAACACACGTTGTATTTAAGGCAGTTGATCCTATGATATATAAAGAGATAAGTGGTTGCACCTGGCTTCCCGAACCACTATTGCTTTGTCTTGATACGGGAGAGACAATTGAAGATGACAGTGAAGACGAAACAGCTGACAGTGATGAGATGGAAGAGGATACTAAATCGAATAAGAAAAAGGTTTTTCGGGTTCCTTCTTTTCCTTTTGGTGGTGGTGTGACAGAAGCACAAGCCCAATTACTAAGCAAAATGTTTAGTGAGAGTATGCGCAGTTGTGATTTAACAACTTTGACCAGACCAAAGTATATTACAAAGAATGAATTCATAAATTATGAATATGAAGAATGTGCTACAACGGGAGAGTCTCGTAATTCTTTTATTCCGAACTCGCCTTTTGACTTTGTGGTGGAACTTGAGAGAGATGTGGTTTTTGACGCCGTCCGGGCGCGTGAAGAGCGGCGTCGTGAGTTTCGACGTCTGGCTGAGGAACGAAAGGCCCCAGTAACTATGGGATCATTTAATCTTCGCGTGATCATGGATCCTTTAAAAACAGGGTTTGAGGAAGAAAAAACATTTCCCATTAAGAGTGGCGCAATTATCGCCGATCGCTATCAAATTATAGAATTGCTAGGAAAAGCAACATTTAGTCGAGCAGTTCGCTGCTATGATTTGCAACAACCGTTTTACGAGGACTGTGATGAGGAAGAAAATGACCCCGAAACAGAGTGTGCCTCTGATCATGACTCTAAGGAGAACGAATCTGCAGAAGGAGGAAAAAAGAAAAGAATCACTGGTTACGCTGAGGTATGTCTTAAAATTATCAATAACTCGAAAGATTTTTTTGATCAGTCACTGGATGAAATTCGTCTGTTGACACTTATCAACAAATATAAAGATCCTGATAAGGCCCATGTGGTGCGTCTTATTGACTGTTTCTATTATAAAGAACACACAATGTTGGTAACGGAGTTACTCTCAGACAACCTGTATGAATATTCTAAATACAACCGCGAAGAAGAGGATACATTTTACTTTACTATTCCGCGTCTTCGTCGTATCGCTCGCCAGATTGCTGAGGCACTCGCTTATGTGCATAGCCTAAATCTTATTCATGCCGATTTGAAGCCAGAGAATATATTGTTTGTCTCACATCGCCGTTGCGTGGTAAAGGTGATTGATTTTGGCAGTAGTTGTTTTTTGAGTGATCACCTCAGCTCTTATATACAGAGTCGCAGCTATCGTGCTCCTGAGGTAATTTTTGGTTGTGATTACGATGGACGCATCGACGTGTGGTCTCTTGGTGCAATTTTGGTTGAACTCGTTACAGGTGAGGTTCTATTTACGTCTGAGACAGTTCCAGAGATGCTTGCTCGTATTGTTTATGTTTGTGGACAACCCTTTCCACGAAGAATGCTGTGGGAGGGTCGACATACATCCAAGTTTATAAATAAGTTTGGTTGTATCTATGAACAAGGGAGTAAAGATGGGGATGATTCGGCAGAAGATTCTTCATATTATTATTTATATACTCCAGTCTTTCAATCAAAGGACTCTCAGGATGTGAATGAACAAACAATGCATAAAAAGAAGAGTGACACTCCTGATTTGGGAGGAACTGAGGAAACACTCCTCCATGAAGGTCCTTATAGTGTGCTTCGACATAAAATTGCAGCTCATAATATTACGGATGAATCTTTTCTGTCGTTTGTAGAGGCGTGTTTGACGCTTGATCACAAGAAGCGGCCGAGGAGCAAGGAACTTTTGTATCATCCTTTTCTTACTCAGTCCGATTGAAGTGTATTTTCTCAATGCAATTTTGAGAATGGAGTTTATGCGTCAACACAAATGTGCTCGTTGATGAGAAAGTATAGACAAAAATATATTGGAAAAAAAAAGATCAATATATGCGTACAACCGATTTCATAACGTTATGATTCTTTTTCCCCCTTTTTTTTTGAGATGGGGCGGTACTGTTACTAATATATATTAGTCAGAACGAAAAACAAAATAAATAATAACCGTATGAACTATGCTCACGATTCTAATTTTTGAAATCTATGGTTTTTTACTTTGGGCGACTTGCCTTTGTGATGTTATTTTGCCTTTTTTAAAAATGAAATATGTTGCTCTTTTTTGTAACCTTTATTGTCTTGACGTTTCTTGTCGTCTCATACAAAGGCCTGCAGCCGGAGTTGAATATCAAATAAAAACTAGAGACATCTTTTTCTTTGTGTCAGATGGCGAGGGTGCAAGAGAGAAGAGGAACTATTTTCTTTTTTGTGCATTGCTATGACTATATATTGTTTTATCGTTCCCTAAACTTTTTGCATTCTCAGCCGTTCCTTTTGTTATCATTACGATGTGGATACAGCTCCAAGGAATTGGTGTCTTCTCCTGTGACTGACAACAGTAAAACAACAACAACACAGACAAACACAGCAGGAGAAGAACGTGATTTCTATTGTTTTTTTTTCATTTTCCATTTTTTAATTACTATCACTGTTACTGTTTTTTTTTTGAAAGTCCAAAGTTAGAAAAAGTCAAGGCACACCTATCCCATACACGCAAAAAGAAGAAAATTGCGACATTTTGCGGTAGCTTTTTGATGAAACAGAAGTCTATTCCTCTATTGGATGGCAGGGTCGGTAGAAGGCTGACTCTGAGAGGTGGTTCTAGTGTGCGTATGTGGCGCTGGTTCTTGATATCTACTCTGTTTTTTTATGCATGTATAATAATTAGCGCCAAACGTATCTTTGAGGATGGGCCACGTGATCGGAATGCTCGACACAACAGCGATCACGCGGGCACCCAAACTAACGCGTTGCAAAAATTTACAAGTCATATATCTTGGATTGAATGGAGACAACTGGTTCGTAATATTGCCGTGGCTCGATGTACTTTGTTAAAGCGCACCGTTGCTTCTTCACGTTCGGGAGTTAGTGACTCGTCAGAAGTGGATGAAGAAGAAGAAATGCGTCTTTTAGCAGGGGCTCGTTCAGAATCATTTAATGAACTATGCCATAGGCCTATTATGCTGTTGTTTTACCGTGATGACTGTTCGGCGTGCCATGCATTACTACAGGGTCTGGGAAACAGCGCAGAATTTGAGCTGTTGAGTGAATACATGACTATGGTTGTTGCTGACTCTATGGTTGAAATAACCGAAAACTATCCATATCCACAGCCACACTTTCGCAACGACTCCTTGTTTTTTCATGGAGGTCGTAGGAAAAATATACTGCAAATGAAGGAAACTGAGGCTGTGCAAGAGGGGTTTGCAGGACAAGGTGAATACTTTCCACGTGTTTTATTTATTTTTCCACAAAATGGTAGTGTGATGCCAATATTTAATCAAGGGGAGGACTCAAATCCGTCGTTTCTACACTTTTACCATGAAACTTCCTCATTGCTACACAGTATGATGGTTGCGCTGTGGACTATGAACGAGGGGGTGAACTTCTCTGAGCTGTGATTTCTCTTTCTTGTTGTTCTTTGTCATTGCGGAGATTATTATTATTTTTGTTATTATAGTTCTCCGTAGGAATCCTTTAATGTATGTCTATTGTGTTTCTGGTTTACAGTATACATCCTTTTTTTTCTTTTTTATGACCTCATTCTGTATTGAATAAGATATTATATATATATATATATATACATATAATACCTTTCAAAGGTAAATACACACACAACATCTGGATAAAGAAAAGTGGAGAAACAGATATTAGAAATGCCAGTTAACACATCCTCACATTCTTTAAATGATGGAAACCTTGATGTCGAAGTCTTCTTACGCTACTTCGTCGCAACTATACTTCCATACGGTGTGGTGTTTGGGTCGGTGCTTTTGAAGGTCCCTCAAATCGTGAAAATCCTGCAACACCGTAGCGCGGATGGCATATCCTTTGCATCTCTCTGTTTTGACCTCACCGCCTTTGTTGTCACTACGAGCTGGGGAATTGCTCAAGCACTCAACTTTAAAGACTATGGAGAGAATATGCTTATCATGGGCGAGGTGGCCTTTTTGCTACTTTTGGTGGGCTACTTGCAACGTAGTATGACACGTGCGTTGTTGGTGTTTACCTTGGAAGCAACGTCACTAGTTGTTATGTCGTGTGGATATCTTCCCCGTACTTTTCACGAATGGCTACTGAGTATACAAATTTTATTCGGGATAAGCAGCCGTGTGCCCCAAATACTAATGAATTATAGAAATCAGTCAACAGGGCATTTGTCTTTTTTGACGTTTTGGCTGGCCATGGCAGGTGGAGTTTCTAGACTGTTAACGACGTTTCAAAATGTCTCGGTTGAGCAGGGCAAATATATCATGCTGATGCAGTTTGGAGTTTCCGTGGCACTAAATGCAGCAATTCTTTTACAGATTGTGGCCTACAGGGAGCAAACACGGAAGCAGCTGGACCAGCAAAAACAAGGAAAGATGGCGGAGAAGGATAAAAAACAAAGGTAGTTTTTTGAAAACATGTTGGCTGTTACCTGGATGGAGGGGCTGCGAGGGGGAGCATTCATGACATGTGCGTCATTTAGGCCGCTGTGGTGTCTTTACAATCTTTCCTGTGAACTCTTTAGAACCGCCCTAGCCCTCAATGCGGGCGGAAAAAAAAATATGTCTGAAAGGGGCAGAGACGTTAAGATAACAGGGCTGAAACGAAGAAAAAATGGAACTAGAAACAACGGATATTATGACTAGAGTTTTTTTTTTTACATGAAGGACTGGGCGAAAAATTGCAGTGTTTTGGACTATGAAGCTTCTTTTTAAAACATTTTTTTTTTCTGTCTTTTTAGGGATGCTTTAAATTTTCTTTCATCTTTTTGTTTCTCCTCTTCTCTCTCTTTCTGTACGTATATGTGTTTCTTTATAGGTGGCCGGCTTTGATGTGTGCGTTTCACAATTTGAGACTGTCCGCCTCGGACCAGGACTATAAACGCCAGACGCGTTGCTAGTAAAACATAGCGGGGATTCGAAGGGATCTACAAGAACAAACAGCACCAAAAGAAGGAAAGAAGTTGTATTCTTCATTTATTAGTGCAGGTGTGTATTTCCGTATTAACTAGGTACATACTATGACTGGCTGTTCTCTACCGCCGTCTGGGATTGGAAGGGTGGTGAGAGGTCTTGTACAGGCCGGTGAGGTGGGTGCCAAGAAGGCGCTGTGGACCATCTCGAGCACTGAGATTCTGTGTGCAAGGATGCACTCGTGGCAGTCAGCGTTGGGGTGCTACGTTTTTTTTTTTTTTTGCAAGCGACATCTTCCCATCGCAGATAAGGGAACCAACCTTAATACCACAATAACCTTGGGCGTATTGAGGTCGTCCGCTAACTCAGAGTTTAATCCAGCGAGAAGTCAAGTTCACGGTGAAAAAAGTCTTTGAGTTTTAGTTCACCAAATGATGACGATGTGTCACACCGTACACCATCTCCCTTGGCTTTCCTGCTGCACATCACCCAACATCAGCCCACACTTTGTCCACTGTACTATAGACTTTGATTCATTACGTGTGACATGGTTCCCTCTGCAGTGGAAGCCTTAGTAACTGTGGGGAGTGCTCATTGTGTACTAGGTCCCCCGCAGTCTCCACACGCCTTGTTCTCAGGCCTGCTGCCCATTCTTTCAGCTCCGTGTGCCGTTGTGAACTTTTCCTTGCGGCACAACCTTCGCAAAAGGCGATGGGTGGAGTTGTTAAGAACAATTTCCAACCTGTCTGCCTATGCTTTACTGGAGCCGTACACGCGAGAGCTTCGCAAGGTCCTAGTACGGAGTGACACGACATCGGTACTAAATGCTATTGGTCATGACGCCTGCTACAAAGCATGCGTCTATCCGCCCTCGCTTTTGCCGTTGATGAATGAACTACTTTTGCGATGGGAAGCATACTGGAGTGCGTTGAAAGGGACAATGGAGGCCCAGCGCCTCTTGTCAGTCTTTTTCCAGTCGACGCCTCCATCCCTTGACCCTGCCGCTCCTTTGGAGAACGAAGCAGCGCTTGGAGGAAGCCTGGTAATCCACGATGAAGCTTGCATGGAGCACAACTTGAACGAAGGCGCCGGCAATCCTCTTCTCATGCTCCCAGCGCTAGAGAAGAGTAGTTTGGAGGTGCTACACCTTGCTGTTCTCATTGCCGTCTACAGGAAGTATACGGACGAGGACGAACTACAGGAAGAAATATAGATATTTCATCGCCTTATGGAGGCGACGACGCGCGTGGCGGATTTCTCCGCCTGTAAACGCATACGACAAGATTGGACAGTGGCATGTGAAGCTATTGTGCCGGCGTGTCAGGGGCGTCGTGTCTTGCCCTCCATTACCACGGAGCAGCTATTGCTTACTCGTCTGCTACTGCGAGCACCCTTCTGCACGGCCGTATTGCAGGTATTGGACGAGTAGCCTCGCCTTTCACATGAGCAGAGTTGCAACTCAGCAGCTGAAGAAGAAACAAACAAGTCCTTCTTTTATGATTCAATGGCAGCAACGCTGCGATGCCCCGAGGTTGTTTTTGCATTAGCCACTCGCTTATCACCGTTAGACTTTCTTGAGGAGGTTGTGAACAAACGGTTATTATCGTCGAAAGTGTTACTACAGGGAGCTGTGCGAAAGGTGGTTGGGGCCGCGCCTCTTCAAGGGAATATCTACGACGCGGCAGAGGAGTTTTGGATGCATCAAGCACGCCTCGAGCTAGCTCTGCTGTGCAACCTGGAGGGACTGCAGCCTCCGTGTGACAACCTTGCCTTATTCCTTCAAGACTATCTTTCGTGCGTGACATTCGTATGCGCCGCGCATTGATGTGGGATTTTTTGCTTTTTCCTTTCCAATTGTCTTGAGTTTTGAGTGCATAGATGATTTTCTGCGGTGAAGTGTGCCCTCCACGGTTCCGTGTGAGGCCGGAGCCGCAGAAAACGTTTGAACATTTTTTTTTCTTTTTTTCGTTGCTGTGGTTTTTTTTTGTGTGTTTTTTTTTTTGCTTCCTTCTGCTGGACGTTGCAGTCTGAGGGTTGCCGAGCTGTTTTTCGTTGCGTGCGGTGCTCGGCATAAGCGGCGCCGCATGCGCCCAAGTGTGTGGTCTGCCTGCCCCAACAGGACAGCTCCCCGCCAAAGTGCTGCGTTTCGCGGCGCGCTCTGCGCGCCTCCGACGAGGCTGGGTGGAGGTGTTGAATTCTATAAATGTTGTTGTTTTTGTTTGAACACCTTCTCCTCCCGAGAACGTCGTAGTTCTCGTCTCTTACTTCTTTTTTGGTGCTTTTGCGACATGCGTTGAGGGGTGGGGCGGCCCTCACGCATTCGCTTGGCCCCGTTAGTTTCGCTGCTCCGATTAGAGACTGTGCCACGCCGTGGCGTCTGCAGTGACGCGTGTGCCACCTGTCGCAATGAAACGATCCGGGCAGTCGTATGTCTGTTGTTGGGGCTGTACCGTCCCAATCCGTTTTTTTTCTCTCTCTCTGCCGCCGGAGACCAGATAGTTTCAGTAGGAGATAAAACACAAACACCAGATTAGGAGAGCGGCGAGCATACAAGAGAGAGATCAGTCCAAGACGTCGCCGCCTCAGTGCAACAAAAGGTGGACACGAAAGTCAACATTCGAACAGAGAAGCACAACGCTTTACCACAGATAATACAACGTGTGCCAAGTGAGGAAATGTCGGCCTTCACCACGAACGCAGGCACTACGTCAAAAGATTCCATTAAAGTTGCAGTGCGGGTCCGACCATTGAACGCTCGTGAGACAGCGGCCAGATTGCCTTCGTCTGTCAAGGCCAACAGCGATCGTGCAACAGTGACGGTTATCAGTGTTCGGCAACGGAACAACACCTGCCCGGAAAAGAAGACGTTCCAGTTTGACAATGTGTTTTGGTCGCTGAACTGCCCCGATGAGTGCGGCAGCAAGCCGGTGGGGCAGGCCGAGGTGTACGACGCGATTGGTCGGCCGCTGGTGGCGCATGCGTTCAACGGGTTCAACTCGTGCCTGTTTGCATACGGGCAGACCGGAAGCGGCAAGACATACACGATGATGGGGGGCGACCCGAACGCGCTGGGTGGCGCAGACGCCGGCGTGACGCCGCGGCTGTGCCTGGAGCTGTTTCAGATGCGTGAGCGCGTCGAGGCGGAGGGCCACTCGAAGTGGGCGGTGGAGGTGGGGTACATCGAGGTGTACAACGAGCGCGTGTCGGACCTGCTGGCGAGGCGGAAGAAGGGCGCGAAGGAGGAGGAGTTTGTGGAGGTGCGGGAGCACCCGACGCGTGGCGTGTTCGTCGAGGGTCAGGAGCTGCGTGAGGTGTCGAGGCTGGAGGACGTTGTGGCGCTCATCGAGGCTGGCAACAGCGTGCGGCATACCGCCGCGACGAAGATGAACGACCGCAGCAGTCGCAGCCACGCGATTCTCACGCTGATACTGCGCGAGGAGCGGTCGATGCAGACGGCGACGGGGCAGATCATCACGACGGCTGGCAAGAACAGCCGGATGAACCTTGTGGACCTTGCGGGGTCTGAGCGTGTTGCGCAGTCGGAGGTGGTTGGACAGCAGTTCAGCGAGGCG